TTCAAAAACCACCTTCCACTCCAAGTCTGTAATCTGAACATCCCCAAAATCACGATTACCGTAATTTCATTTTTTAGGGTACTTATTTAAAAACTTCCATGATGCCCTGGCCGGTTTGACTCAGCGGTTAGAGCGTTGGCCTGCGGTCCTGAGAGACCCGGGTTCGGTTCCCGATAAGGGCACGTACCTCGGTTGCAGTTTGTCCCCGGCCCTGGTTTGGACATGCAGGCGGCAGCCACTCGATGTGTCCCTTTCACGTCAATGTTTCTCTCTCTCTCTCTCCCTCCCACTCTGTCTGAACAAAAAATAAATAAATAAAAACTTCTATAGTCACTACATTAATATTAATGAGGATTCATTCCACCAATATTTATAAACACCTAATCTATGCTGGGCAATGTTATAAGCACTCTCACATTCATCTTTTCAATATCCTTAGGAGTTAGTTAATGTTGTTAGCTCCAATGGATAGAGGAGGAAAATGGAAACATAAGGTCACACATTTGGTATGGAGGGGTCTGTGATTTGAACCCAGGCAGTCTGGCTCTAGAATCCGTGTCCTTAACCACTATGATCACCTAGCTAGCAATCATGGCTTGTTTCAAAGTTCTCTCTTCAATTAAATACTTCCTCTAAGTCTTGCTCAAATGTCATCTACGTGAGGCCTTTTGCCTGGCCACTCTAGCTAAAATTTACACACACACACAAACACTATACCCTTTTCTGTTTCATTTTTTCCTTCACACTTATCACCATACCATACATTTTATTTATTTACCTATAAATTATCATTACCCAAAATTGTTATTTTTTAAAATTCTTTTTTTCTTTTTTAATTTTAGAGAGAGGAAGGGAGAGATAGAAACATCAATGAGAGAGAACATTGATTGTCTGCCTCTTGCATGCCCCCTACTGGGGATTTGGCCCACAACCAGGGCATAGGCCCTGACTGGCTACCTCTTGGTGTATGGATTAACCCTCAACCACTCAGGCACACCGGCTGGGCAGAAAATTGTTATTCTTTACATTGATTATCTGTCTCCTACAAGAGAAGTCAGCTCCAAGAGGGGCAGAGATTTTTGCCTGTGTTATTCACTGTTTTATCCCCTGTCACACAATAGGCATTTGGTAAATATTTGTTGGATGAATGAATGACTAAATGAGTGAATGAATGAATTAACCTTTTCTAATGATGGTTGATGCCAAGTTGTGTTGCCTGGATCCTGGTTGACCTTGGTTTTGACCCTCTGGCTCAGAAGTATTGGCTCTGCTTACAAATAGTAACATTTACAATTGGAATTATGCCAACTCAGGTAAATTTCTTTCTTTTTTTTTTTTTTATATCCTCACCCGAGGACATTTTTCCATTTTTTGTTCAGGTAGAGTGGGAGGGAGAGAGAGAGGAACAGAGAGAGAGAGAGAAACATCGACGTGAAAGGAACACATCGAGTGGCTGCCACCCACACGACCAACCAGGGCCGGGGACAAACTACAACCGAGGTACGTGCCCTTAGTGGGAACCGAACCCGGGTCTCTCTGGACCGCAGGTCGATGCTCTAACCGCTGAGCCAAACAGGCCAGGGCTCAGGTGAATTTCTATTGAGAAAGTTTACCCTAGAGTGAATTCCGAACCAATTTAACTCCTTCAATGCCATAGTGGCCAATTTTGGACATTTTCATTTTTCTGAAATTGTTTTCAGTGGGGTGAATCATTTTTAGGTTAATTTTTATAGTGATGATTCAATCCATGCATCAATTTTCTTGTCTGTATCATATTTCAGCAGTAATAACTTTGCCCCAGTTATCTCCTTGGCCCCAGGCTGCTCCCTGAACAGCTTACGCACAATCTTGCTTCAGGGATTACACAGGTTGTTCCCTCTCCTAGAAATGCTCTTCTATCTGTGTGGCTCATCTCTTACTTTCTTAACATTTTTTTCCCTCAAAAAACAAACTCACTTTTCAACAACGTCTAAGCTGACTACCCTATAGCTTCTCCAACCCTGCACTCCTGATCCCCCTTATTGGCTTTATTTTTAATTTAGTGCAAATAATGCAACTTGTTTCCTTGTTTATCGTCTATCTCCCTCTGCAAGAATATAAGCTCCACAAGGGCAGGAAGTTTTAAATCTTTTCTTCCCTGCCGTATTGCCATTTCTTATTAAAGTGCCTGGCTCCCAGTAGTCACTCAATAAATATTTGTTGAATGAATAGCTTTCCTGTCATTCTGAGCTTTATTTGTGGCTAGTTTTCACCACGTCTAATATTTCAGGATCAAAATTTGCAGGTTCACGTTTTGTTGACAACATAGGATCCTTCCATCAGTTCTCGGTCAACATATTTTAAAGTTCACAGTTTTAGCTGTTGTCAGTTTAGTCTGTGGTGCTTATGTCTACCAGTAATAGTCATTGTGAAACTGGTAAGATTGTTTTTATTTCCTAGGTAATCCATGAGAAAAACTGTAAGCAAACCCCCTTAGACCATCTAGAATTGTCAGAGATGGGCTTTGCTAAGCTGGGTTTTCAGTAAACCTCTGGTCAACATTGTACAGTATGTAAAATCTAAACTCCTCCTAACCACAGCCCATGGAGCCTTAGGGGTATGGCCTCTGACCACTTCTAGCCACTCTTTTTTCTGTAAGATTCCAGTAATTCCGGTAAGCACAACATTCCAGCCTCACTAGTTTTTTTGGTGGAACTTATCTGTTTTCTGTGCCTGTGTACTCTCAGTCTTACCTATCACCTTAAGGTAAACTCCCTGAGAACAGAAAATATCTTAGTTCAGGTCCTTCCAGAAGCAGACCCTAAGGCAAGGACTGACATCAAGTAGTTTATTTGGGACATGAATCCAAGAAGCACCCATTAGACAGTGGGAAAGTGAGGAAGTGAGACAAAGAAGAGAAGGCAGCCAATGAAGAGCATTATTAAGAGACTTAGCACTATGGGGAACATGCAGAGCATATTCCACCGGCCAGTGGAGAGCACCCACAGTGATGTCCCACTTGGGGGGGGGGGTAACAGGGCAGGGGTACTTATCTACCAACTCTCATCAGTCACTGTTGATGGTGGCTGCCAGGGAGTGTTCATTTCCTGGCCTTTCCAGCCCGTCAGTCCCGCAGGCAGCATTAGAGGAAGCCCTCCAGTGAAGAGATGCAGATCCTGGCAGTTGGCAGTTGGCCAGCAGCACACTGGAGCAGAAAGGCCACTGTGACATGGACAGGGAACTGACAGTGTCTGCTACAGAGACTGTCTTGATTACTGGGCCTTGCAGATAATAAATGCTCTATTAGATTGAAGGATGAAACTTGGTATCTGTTATGTCACTGGAACAAAGCTGGATGTAAAATATCAAGGTTCAAATATCCTTGGGATCTAACAGTAGGCTAAAAACATTATGTTTAAGTTTTATGACCACTCACAATGGCCACCATGCCCACCTCAGGAAATTTCTGAGGACAGACATCCTGGTATCTGTCAGTGCCTTGCATACTGTCAGGGCTTGGCACACAAGAGGAACTCAACTCCCACTCCTTCATCCCAAGGGGTGGTCGTTAAAAGGTCAGTTGCTTACCAAAACAGCTACTATGAAAAAGATGGAGAATGCTGAGTGCTGGCAAGTATGTAGCACTTAACACAGGGGAAGTGTAGTTGGGAAAATTGGCATGTTTTACTAAGTAAGCCTGATCACCTATCTACCCAACGACTTAGCAATTCTGTTCCCAGATATATGCCCAAGAGAAATGAGTGCATATGTTCATCTAAAAATGTGTAAAGAGCCCTGGCCGGTTTGGCTCAGCGGTTAGAGCATCGGCCTGCGGTCCTGAGAGACCTGGGTTTGGTTCCCACTAGGGGCGCGTACTGGTCGGTTGTGCGGGTGGCAGCCACTCGATGTGTCCCTTTCACATCGATGTTTCTCTCTCTCTCTCTCTCTCTCTCCCTCCCACTCTACCTGAACAAAAATGGAAAAATATCCTCGGGTGAGGATAAAAAAAAATAAATAAAAATAAAAAAAATAAAAATGTGTAAAGAATGTTCACAGAAGAATTTTTTTAACTCAGTCTTTTTATTATAATACATGGGCTGGGACTGATGGGATGGGGTAGATGTGGGCAACCATTGCTCTGATTAGCATCAGATGCCCATCCCAATAGCCATGAATGTGACAAAGGTGCCACCACTCTGCATCATGGTTTTCCCAATGCTGCCCATCAGCTTCTGATCCCACATTCCAATCCTGAGACAGGAAAAGGTGCTGAAGAGTGCCCCAGCCACCACGTCCACAGTGCATCCCATCACAAAGCCCATCTTTGTGCAGTCGAAGCAGCTTGGCTGGGACTGTCAACAGGGACCCATAGCCACTGGCATCTCACTTATGGCCCCGGTTGCTTCAAGAATTAATAGCCCCTGACAGAAAAGTGCCCAAATACCCACTGACACTAGAATGGATGAAGTATGGTCTATTCATACAAAGGAAGAGAACACAGCAATGAGGATGGACAAACTACTGATCATGTAACAATGTGGATCTGTCTCACATAGTGCTGAATGAAAGAAGTCAGAAGCAAAAATACACCAATGCACTTATATGAAGTGTCAAACAAGACAAAACTAATCTACGCTATTACAAGTTGGGAGAGTGTTTACCCTTGGGGTGGGGAGGATGGACCTGAAGGACATTTTCTGGAGATAGAGGTCACCTGGAAGAAGACTGAAGTGCTAGACATGTGAGTGAAGAAGCCATCTTGGATGTCTAGCTCAGTTGAGCTTTCAAATGAATCCAGCCCCAGCCACCGTCTAACTATAAGAAGAACCACCTAACTGAGCCCAGGAAATACTAAGACCATGAAAGATTATACTAAATTGTCATTTTAAGCCACTAAGTATTAGGATGTTTGTTACACAGCAATAGATAACCAGAACACCCAGAAAAGGCTGCAGTGGCCCTTTTAAGGCCTGATACCCCCACTCCCACAACCTCCTCACAACAAAATTAATACCAGCCAGTCAGATTTACAGTCCTTTTAATAAGGTGCTCTGAGGAGAGGGCAGAATGGCAGGCAGGGGGTAGAGAAGGTAGTGCTTCTTGAGCCCCACTGGGCATCCAGTCAGTCATCCACTGGCAACTGGATCTTGCTGGGGTCAAAGCAGTTGGATTCCATGATGGGAAGTCCATTGGCTTCTCGGTATTTCACAAGCCTTTCAGCTTCCCGGCGGGCCCACTCCTGCATCCTGGAGGCAGCAGCGGGGTGGGGGGAGACATGAGGAAGCCTCACTGGACATCAATCCCCACCTCAGCTCCCCATTCCTCGATGGTGCAGGACAGGATTCCTGGCAGAATCCCCTTCGACTTCCACCCCTGACTCTACCACCACCCATCCCATTCTCTTGGACACCCCATGAACCTGTAGTCAGGCAGATAAGCCACAAAGGTGCTGCCAAGGACCAAGACGATGGAGAAGCCAAAGAAGAAGACGACCCGCATGTTCCAGACATCCACAACAGGATCCTTGTCATAGCCATGGGAGTCTGGGTTCTGTGGAAGGAGAAGAGGTCAATGAGGGCTTCCTGCTGTTCCACAAAGCCTTATGCTGGCCTGCATAAGCTGGTCTCCAATTTCACCTCTAACCTCCTCGCCCTCCCTAAATTCCTTTCTTTCTGTTCTTAGAACTTGTCAAGCTCCTTCCCATCACAGGGCCTTTGCATTTGCTGTTCCCTCTGCCTGAAAAGCCTTTCCCCCAGATCTAGTCATAGCTGGATTTGCCTCCTCATTCAAAGTTTTGGCTTCATCATCACTTCTCTTTTTTTTATCCTCACCCGAGGATATTTTTCTATTTATCTTCTGGTAGAGAGAGAAAGGAGAGAGAGAGAGAAACATCTATGTGAGAGGGACACATCAACTGGTTGCCTCCCACACAACTCCGACCAGGGCCGGGGACAAGCCACAACCTAGGTATGTGCCCTTGGCTGGAATCAAACCTGGGACTCATTGGTCCAAGGGCCGATGCTATGCCGCTGAGCCAAACCAGGTAGGGCCATCATCACTTCTCTTAAGAGGTAATCCCTAGTCACCTTGTTTATTAAATTGAACTATAGGAAAATGCCATTTTCATATATCAAAAATGGTTGAATATTGGCCATTTCGTATGGTTCAACCTGATAAAATTACCCCCTACCCCCAAGTCACTTACGACACTTATCCTGCTTAACATTTTAGCATTTATTAGTTTATTAAAGTAGCATCCTCCAAATCTTCTATATCACATTATCTTATATGATCAATTACATACCTTATGTTACCATTTTCAAGTATTTTACATATTCATTTTCTGCGTTTTCCTCTATCATATAAACTCTGTAAGAAGAGCAAGGGCTTTATCTGATTTCCACATTGCTGAACCCCCAGGGCCCTGAGCTGTGCCTGGCATACAGCAGGCCCTCAATACATATTTACAGAATGAATGAGCATCCTATACGTATATCCAAGCCCCTCAACCAGAGGTTAATATTGATGAAGTACCTTTTACGCGTCAGGCCTTTTCACATACACAAACTTCACAATATCCCAGCAAGGTAGAAAGTGGCAATAATAATTAACACCTTTTAATGCTGAGTACTTACTAAGTGCCAGATGCTGTTCTGAGCATTTTGACTCATTCAATTACATAAGGCAGGTGTAGTATTTTATTTTTTAAAGATGCCCTAACACTTTCCCCACTTTACAAAGAAACTGAGGCACCAAGGGGTTAAGTTACTTTCCAAGGTCACACAGGTGAGTTAACTGTCAGTGCCTGTATTCCAACCCAAGCATTCTGATTTCAGAGCCTCTGCCATCAACACAGCACACACCTGGTAGACCTACGTTCAAATATGATTCTGCCACTTAACACCTCTGTGCTTCAGTTTCCTCATCTGTACAATTAGTACATTAATAGTACCTAGATATAGAGTTGTTCTGAGGATCAGATAAGTTGATGTATGTAAATTGTTTATAACACTGGCACCAAGCAAGCGTCCTGTCAATGTTCATTATTATCGTTGTTATACTCTATTGCTTCTAAGTGTTTTGAGCAGTGCCCACTTCAGGTTTAACACCTGCCTGCAAAATGAGGTCAGTCTTGCCTCTGGCTCTACCGAAGATAACACGGGAAAAAAGAGGAAAATAAATTAGGCAAAAGCCCCAAGTCTTCGAGGATTTCACCAGCTGCGCAACCCTCAACCGCCTAATAAAGTCCTCTACGGCGCACCGTCCACTGCCCCCGATTGACCCTACTGGCGTCCGGTCTTCCCTTCTCTCACCTTCTCATAGAGGTTTTCGTCCTCTGGATCTGGGTCCTCCTGCCAGCGCATAGTCGGTTCCGGTGCCCGCTTTCCCACCACAGTGGACGGGGCGATCACAGCCCTGGCGGAGCTGGATTCCGAGCGAACCCAGGCAGCCAGGCGCCCTCGCGTCGCCGCTGCTGCCAAAAGGCGGCGAGCGTACAAACTTAACAGCCCGTGCGCCATGACAGATTGTTCTCCAGGTTTTCAGGGGCGGGAACGGAAATGCGACTCTGCGCAGCTGCAGTTGGCCCGAGCGCGATGATTGTCGCTCCGCCTCGTCGCACTAAATAGGTCCCGAATCTTTCTAGATTTTGTTTTCGCGTTGAGGCAGCCCTCTTTCCTCCCTCTGTCACGGCGTCATTAGAGTAACCATTTCCCGACCCTTCCGGCTAAGCTATGGGAGTTCTGCCTAAGCGGTCTGCTCCTTTCCTTGCTGAGAAGAAAGCGGTGACATTTGGGGGGTGGGGTGGATGCAGTTCCCAGCCAATCGCACCGACTTTCCCTTGCCCTCCGGTGAAAGGGGCAGAGCTTCCGTTTGTCTTTCGTCTTTGAAGGAAGCCAAGCTTCTAAAAAGCGGGCCTCGCCCGATTGGCCAATAACTACTCCTTTTCTCCACTTGCGGGCGTTCGCTCGGGGCACGGGGCTCGGGGAGGTGGCAGCGGCTTGCCAATCAGAGCGGCCCAGGGCTGGCCGATGGCGGATGGCGACCAATAGACGCGGCCATCCAGAGCGCGCTCCCTCAGTAGGTGGATGGTGGTCGAAGCGCCGGCTCCCAGCTCCTGGTCGCCATTTTGTGCTGGTGACTGCGGCCGGCGGGGTGTAGGCGGCAGTGGGTCTCCCGGGAAGAGCAGCACGCTTGGCGCTTCTCCCCTTCACTCCTCTGCCTTTCTGTCCCCAGCCTTGAACTTGGTTGTTGCGCGAACCGGCTCCTGCTGAGCTGGGAGAGTTGGCGGAGGTGGCAGAGGGCCGAGGTGATGTCAGGGAGCCCTCCCTTGACAGCCCGAGCCGAGAAGGTGAGAATCGACGCTGGTCGTGGGGGCGGAGGTAAGGGGCCGGGGTCGGAGGATGAGTAGAGCAGGCGAGAGGGCCGACTGCGGGCCGCAACCGAGGGATGCGCGCGCGGTCTGACCTGGGAGGGGTTCTCTTTTTTTAATTTTTACCCCTTTTGAGAGCAGAGGCGCGTGCGCGATCGGGACGCAGGATGGGTGCACGCGGGTTGGGGGAAGGGAGGAACGGGTGGGAGTGGGCTGTGGTGTCTGCGACACGGAACTTTGTCCGTGGGGAGGCAGGTGTCTGCGATTTTGTTTTTTAATGTACAGGGGAGGCGATGTGCTCTCTGCTCTGTAACTTTAGTACTCATCTGCCCATGGGAAAGTGTTCTGTGGCTCCGGTCCTTGGGAGGGGAAGGAGAGAAAACATCTGTATGACCCTGGTCTTTATCCTTGGAGTGTGTATCTAACTCTGGTCCCTGTTTATGGGAGAGGTCCTTATCCATAGGGAGTCTTCTTGCGACTGGCCCTAACCTGCTTACTGAGTAGGGAGGGAATGCAAGGAATGTGTGTATGACTTATTGCCTGTTCTTGGGGGGGGGGGGTGTATCTCTGTGACTGTGACGTTCATCCATTGAAAGGGGGCCCAAGTGTGTGCTTATGGCCCCTATTTGTTGTGGGTACCTGTCTGATTTTGGCCCATAGTTTTGGGGTGCTGTCTGTGACTGGCCCCTGTCTGTTATGGATACCAGTGTGTGACTCTGGCTTCTTTTCCAGAGGCTACTGAGGGTTTTGTATGGATTCTAATTCACTGGGGTCCCTGGTTGTGATTCTAACTCATACCCATTTGGGAGCAGGTAACTCTGAGAGGTTCCCTGTGGCTTGAGAAGGAAGAGAAAATTGGTGTGTGTGTGTGTGTGTATATACATGGAGGAAAGGTGTGGTGGCAGCCTAATGTTGGGTAGGTGCTCTTACTACCTGGCTTTGCCTAATTGTTGTTCAGAGGGCAGGGCCTGAAGATTCTGGGATACTGCCTGGTGACCCCTGGCTGGGTCACATGGCTCTCAGAACTTCCTTAGATCTCAAGCCCTGAGATTTGGGTGAAATGACTGCCCTTCCAACCTAGTAGCATAGCACAGTGGTTCGGAACAGCCTCCGAAAGGGCTCCTTTTGCCTCTGAATAACTTGGGCCCAGAGCCCTGAGGAGAGAGCTAGCTGCCTTGGGACCTGGCTGTACATAAGAGACCAGACTCAGGGCTCAGCCAGTTGCCCTGTGAGGGCCAAAGCTGTGTTGGCCAGGAGCCCAGGGAGGCAGCAGCTGTCTCATTGCCAAGTTACCCCCTTCACCCCCTAAACCTCTCCTGGTCTCCTGCTGTCTTGTAGGGGGCAGCCAGCATCTTGTTGAGAGGGTGAAATGGCACCTGGGGGCCATGGAAGGAGCCTTGTGGGTGCGTGGGACTCCTGTAGTGAAGTCTTGCATCCATGCCTAATGTGCCTGATCTCTTACAAGTCATTCAGCACCAAGAGCTCCCCTAGGTAGGTAGCTCCAGTCTTGAACGTGTCTACCAGTTTCAGATGTCAAAGCCCTGATCACGGAATGGATGGCACCACCGGATCTCTCAACAAGATGCTCCCTGTCTGCTGAAGGCCTTGCTCATTCTAGGGCAGTGAGCTCTAACTTCACATTTATGGGGAAAGGAAAGTAGCAGACCAAGTAGGGGCTGCCTTTCCACTCTGGTCCACAGGAGCACTAGGAGTTGAGAAACAACAGCCCTGGACTAAGAGACAGCAGAGATCCTTGACAACAAGGGTTTCTCAAGGAGGTCCTCTCTCCCTCAACTGCCTTGACCCCTTTCTTCCTCCCTCTTTCTCCAGAGTCCCTACAGGAGGCATCACCCAGGCTGGCAGATCATGGTGGCAGCAGCAGGGGTAGCTGGGAAGTGAAACGGAGCCAGCGGCTGAGGAAGGGCCCCAGCAGCCCCCGAAGGCCCTATCAGGACATGGAGTATGAAAGACGGTGAGTTACTTGCTTCCCCCTTGAACAAAGAGCCTAGGCTTGTCCCCATGTGAGAATTGATCCAGGAAGGTGCTAGGGGGATGCTTCTGGGCAGAGGAAACAGTGTAGCAGATGACTGGTTACTTTTAAGCAGACATTTACTTGTGAGCCAGAACCTGTGTGCTAGGTGAATGAGACAGATACGATTGCAGCCTTCTCCTTACTCGGAGTCTCACAAGGGAGACCATACAGTTTACAGGTGATTCCAAAACAGTTGGATGGGTGCCATAGTTGGTTGTCAGGATAGGAAGGGATCAAGAGAAAGGTAGGAATGGAGGCTAATGCCCAGGTTTCCAGTTTGGATGACCCAGATAGGTATATGGTACCATTCGCCAAGGTCTGAACAGCCACTATGGGAGGAAAGGCAGAAATGGGTAGTGGGTTGTAAGTGCTTTTGGATTCTCAGGAGAGAGGTGTGAGCTATAGCTTTAGGTTTAAGGGATGGATGAGAGTGGTGCCTTCAGAGTCAGGAATTTGCCAGGACAAATATGGGGCAAGCCAGGTCAGACAGTGGGATATTTCAGGGGCAGGGTAGGCTGAAGTTGGCGTGATACTTATTGGAATGGTTGCCTGCCGTTACAACCCGACCAGGGCCGGGGACGAACCGCTACCGAGGTACGTGCCCTTGACTGGAATTGAACGTGCGACTTGTTGGTCCGCAGGCTGACACTCTAACTGCTGAGCCAAACTGGCCAGGGCTCATACAGTTATTTTTAAACTCTGGTAGAAAAAGAAACAGTTGGGACACTTGATAAAATAAGAGATCCCAGGCCATTCCATCACCATCCTGATATATCACCCAAGTTGATTCTAATGCAGGTGATCTATTCCTTACATTTTAGGATTACATGGGAAAGCAGACCTAACTCTCCCCAAAACCTCTATTTTTATTTATTATTTGTTTATTTATCTTTGCCTAAGGACATTTTCCCATTTTTGTTCAGATAGAGTGGGAGGGAGGGATAGAGAAACATTGATGTGAAAGAGACACATCAACCGGTTGCCTCCTGCATGACCCCGACCAGGGCTGGGGACGAACCACAACCGAGGTACATTCCCTTTACTGAAATCGAACCCGCGACTCATTGTTCCACGGGCTGACGCTCTAACCACTGAGCCAAACCGGCCAGGGGCAAAAAGCCTCTATTAACACAGTGGATTTATAAAAAGTTTGGAAAAATAATTTTTTTAATGTCCTGCAAAGGGTTTCTTCTACCACCAGGCCCTTTTAAAAATGTAGAATTAAAATATTTTGTTTTCTGAAAAATGAGCCCAAATTGAGATGTAGTCATTATCTAGTGTTATTCAGTCTTGACATTCTTTAAAAATGTCTTTTGAAAGGCATTTGATTTTTGGATGGGATTCACTGGAAGTGCTCTGTAGCAACTTCTGAGTTTGAGTAGGTGACATATTTGCTTGCTTCAGACTTTATTACCAAATAAAGCCACTGGCCTTCTTTTAGCTTTTAAAGGACCTCAAGTGAAGAGGTTTTAGTTAACCATACTTGTCCAGTTCACAGTCGGTTTTTATCATAGGTCAGCACAAAGGCCTTCTCTTGCCTATTTTCCCCCTTTTTTATTCCCAATTCCCATAGCTGTTGGCAATTTCTCTGTTGAGTTTGAAATGTATTCTTCTAAAATATCTAGTGTTATTTAGAGTGTCTGTGTTTTCACTTTACACAAATGATAGAGTGCTATATATTCTTCATTTTTCCCCTGAACTTTGTATTACTCAGCACTGCATTTTTAAAGATCTATCTGTATTGCCATGTGTACATTAGTGCTTTGCTCCTAATTGGTCCCAAAGATACCATGGGGGTATGCCTACTGCCTTTTGCTTAATGATTCCCCCAAGGATGGACACCTGTCCTTAAAGTCTTTAAAGTGCTAAAAATCATCACTTTTTTGTCTTACAATCTGTGCTTTCAGAGTCTTCTCTGTTCCTACCTCTGGATCGCAACAGTTGTTTTCACTGTATAGTTTTACCTTTCTCATTCAGGTCTTTAAATCCATCTAGAATCCAGTTTTGAATGTGGCATAAGGTAGGTTCTTGTTTTATTTTACTTCATATAGTGGGCATTTTTCCCAGTACCATCTCCTAAATAGTCCATTCTTAATGATTTGTGGTACCTCATCTCATCTCAAGTTCCCTCATATACATGGATCTGTCTTGAGTGATCTAAGTTGTTTCATTGGTTTACTTGTTCTTTCTTGTGCGAGAACCTTAGTGTTTTTATTATTATTGTTTTATAGAATGTCTTATTAGTTCCCACTTTGCTCTTATTTTTCAAAGTTGATTTAGCCATTTGTGGAGTTTTATATATAAAAAATTTACCAAGTCCCTCAAAAACATTCCAGATTTTTTTTTCCATTTTTTGTTCAGATAGAGTGGGAGGGGGGGGAGAGAGAGAGAGAGAGAAACATCGATGTGAAAGGGACACATCGAGTGGCTGCCACCCACGCGACCAACCAGGGTACATGCCCTTAGCGGGAACTGAACCACGGTCTCTCTGGACCGCAGGCCAATGCTCTAACCGCTGAGCCAAACCGGCCAGGGCAACATTCCAGAATTTTTGTTGAGGTTGCATTGAATATATTAATTTGGGGAGCATTGGCATCTTTGTCACCTTTCCCTTCTCCTTCTCTCTTCCCCTTCTTCTCTTCCCTCTCTCCTCTCTCCTCTCTCCCTTCCTGCCACATACAACATTTGCCCCTCGACAATTATTTGAGTTAGTGGCAGACATGACCCTTAAGTACTATAGCATGTATGTCCTAAGAACAAGGGCTTTTTCCTCCATAACCACAGCATACTTACAATTTCAGGAAATTTAACATTGATGCACTACTTTGTCCATATTCCAATGTATCAGTTGTCCCAGTGATACCCTTCATAGTTGTGTTTTCCCTAATCTAGGATCCAATCCAAGATCACACATTGCATTGAATTACTTTGAATTTTTAGTCTCCATTAATTGGGAACAATTGTTCAGTCTTTCCTTTTATGACCTTGATATGTTTCAAGAGTACAGGTCAGTAAAGTACAGCATAATGAATATAGTCAATAATATTGCGATAACTGTGTACTGGATATGGTGCCAGGTGGGTACTGGAAATGTCAGGGGAAACACGTTGTAAAGTATATGATTGTCTAATCACTATGCTATACATATGAAACCAATACAAAATAATATTGAAAGTAAACTGTAATTGAAAACATTTTAAAATAAATTAATTTAAAATGGTAAAAAGAATAATACAAATAATAAATTGAAAAAAAAGAGTACGGGTCATTTGCTTTGTAGATGTTTCTCAATTTTTTTTTTTTTAATGTGTACTACTCATGAATTTTTGGCAGAAAAATTATTTAAGCAATCTTATGTATGTTTTTTAATCATTTACATTTGGTTAGATACTTCATTTAGGATATTTGCGTCTGTGTCCATCAGTGAAGGGGTCCTATAATACCCTTTTCTGTTTACCTGGCATTGAAACAAAGTAGCCTCATGACATGAATTGGGCAATTTTTGCTATTTTTCTTTTTTAAAGAAACTTATATAAGAATTATCTGTCCCATGAAAGCTTGGTAAAACTCACCTTTAAAGGGGTCTGAGTTTTTCATTATCATTTTATCTACTTCTGCCAATGTTGACATTTTATGTTTTCTAGAAATATACTCATTTTGTGGAGGTCCTCGTATGTTATGTATGATTCAGTCCAGCTTCCAGAAATATATTATGAATAGGGTCTGCCTTTGAAAGGTTAATCAAAGTGCTCTGTGGCCAATGATAAGTATCTCTTACTATCTAAATCTGTTCTCTTCCTGAATTAAATATTTTAAAATTAATATATGGGTTTTTTTTTAAATTGATTTTAAAGAGAGAGAGAGAGAAATGGGGAGGGAGAGAGAAACATTGGGTCATCTGCCTCCTGCATATCCCTACTGGAGATCAAGCCCACAACCTGGGCATGTGCCCTGATCTGAATCGAACCTGCAACCTCTAGATGCATGGGACAGCGATCAACCAACTGAGCCACTCCAGCCAGGGCTGTTCCTTTCCTGAATTTAGATAGTAAGAGTTTAATACCCAAATTTACTTGGTTTAGATGCTGAATGTCAGAGTTAGGATTTCATCTGAACATTTACTCAGATCTATTCTGATGACTAGAGTTAAAATATTTAGGGATACCTGTAGTATGCAAATATGAAAAAAACATTGTTCATATCAAAAACATTAACAATACTTTTATCAGACACTTCATGTTGAGGCATCTATCAAGGAAACAATTTGGGTTCCAAGCTGAGCTTACAAGGACAGGGACCTCATTTTGTTCACAGGACTATCCCCAGCACCTAGAACAGTGCCTGACACATAGCAAATGTTATATTAATATTTGTTGAATGAGCCTGGCTGGTATGGCTCATTGGTTGAGCGTGGACCCATGCACCAGGAGGTCGCTGGTTTGATTCCCAGTCAGGGCACATCCCTAGGTTGTGGGCCAAACCCCAGTAGAAGGCATGCAGGAGGTGGCCGATCGATGTTCTCTCTCATTGATGTTTCTATCTCTCTCTCCCTCTCCCTTCTTCTCTAAAATCAATAAAAGAAAAAAAATTTTTTAAATGTATATGTTGAATGAATTAATGAATGAACAATTATGAAAAATTGGAAACCAACCAGAATGTCTGGAAACATTTTATTTTCCCCATTTGGTAATTATTTTTTAGCTTTTTTGTTTTTTTCAGTATTTTATTGTGAAATTTCAAGCATACAGCAAAGTTGAAAGAATTTTACAGTGAACTCCTCTATACCCATCCACTGGATTGTACCATTAACACTTTACTGTACTTGCTTTATCACAAGTTTATGGTATTTTTTACACTCTAGATATTTTTAAATTTTTATGAAGCCAGATTTATCAGTTTTCTTTTTCTTTTTTTTTAAAATCCTTACCCGAGGACATTTT